GATGGGAATGAGAGGGAGGAAGGGAGGGAGGGTGGAAGGAAGGAAGTAAGTAGATGGGAATGAGAAGGAGGGAGAAAGGAAAGCGAAGGAAGGAAGGAAGGAGATGGGAATGAGAAGGAGGGAGAAAGGAAAGAGAAGGAAGGAAGGAGACAGGAATGAGAAGGAGGGTGGAAGGCAGGAAGGAAGGAAGGAAGGAAGGAAGGAAGGAAGGAAGGAAGGAAGGAAGGAAGGAAGGAAGGAAGGAAGGAGATGGGAATGTGGAGGAGGGAGAAAGGAAAGAGATGGAAGGAAGGATATGGGAATGAGAAGGAGGGTGGAAGGAAGGAAGGAAGGAAGGAAGGAAGGAAGGAAGGAAGGAGATGGAAGGAAGGAAGAAGATGGGAAGGAGAAGGAAGGAGATAGGAATGAGGAGGAGGGAGAAAAGAAAGAGAAGGAAGGAAGGAGATGGGAATGAGAGGGAGGGAGGAGGGGAGGGACTATGGAAGGAAGGAAGGAAAAAAGGAAGGAAGGAAGGAAGGAAGGAAGGAAGGAAGGAAGGAAGGAAGGAAGGAGGGTGCAGCAGTGCCCAAAACTTCTGGTGCCTCCTGGGAAAAACCCTCCACATGGATGCAGTGATTCCCAGTCGATTGCAAGAAGCGGCTTGAGGCATTCCCAGGGAACATCCATCCCTCCCAGGTGTGAAAGATGCCCAGGTCTCTGGACACCTGCATAAGTGGATAGAGGCATTCTTGTCAAACAGACAACAAATGGTCAAAATTGGGAGCGTCCTATCAAATTCTGGACCTGTCAACAGTGGTGTCCCCCAAGGCAGTGTTCTAGGACCAGCTCTCTTCATACTCTACATAAGTGACCTCTGTGATCATATTAAGAGCAACTGCGTCCTCTTAGCTGACGATGTAAAGCTATTCAACACCACAGACAATCCTGCTACCCTTCGAAAAGACCTCGACTATGTATCAGAATGGTCAAACAAATGGCAACTTCAAATCTCAACAAATAAATGCTCTGTCCTACATATTGGCAAAAAAAATCAGAAAATAAAATACAGGCTGTATAATCAAGACCTTGTTGATGATCCAAACTCTGTCAAGGACCTTGGAGGACTCATCTCCAATGATCTAAGTGCTAGAGCCCACTGTAGCTACATAGCCAAAAAGGCGGGAATAGAATATTAGAATAGAATAGAATAGAAATTAGATTAGAACAGAGATGAACAGAATAGAGATGAACAGAAAGAATAGAATAAAGGAATAGAATAGAATAAAGGAATAGAATAGAATAGAGAATAGAATAGAATAAAGGAATAGAATAGAATCAAATAGAATAGAATCGAACAGAATAGAGAACAGAATAGAATAGAATAGAATAGAATAGAGAATAGAATAGAACAGAACAGAACAGAACAGAACAGAACAGAACAGAACAGAGGAATAGAATAGAGAATAGAATAAAGGAATAGAATAGAACAGAACAGAACAGAACAGAACAGAACAGAATAGAATAGAATAGAGAATAGAATAGCATAGAAAAAGGAATAGAATAGAATAAAGGAATAGAATAGAATAAAGGAATTGAATAGAATAGAGAATAGAATAGAACAGAATAGAGAACAGAATAGAATAGAACAGAATAGAGAACAGAATAGAATAGAATAGAATAGAATAGAATAGAATAGAATAGAATAGAATAGAATAGATGGGAGTCCAGTCTCTTCTTGAAAGTCTCAAGGGATGAAGCTCCCACAACTTCTGAAGGCAACTTCTCTTCCATGGGTTGATTGCTCTCCCTGTCAGAAAGTTTCTCTTTATTTCCAGGTTGAATCTCTCCTGGTTCAGTTTCCATCCATTCTTCCTTGTCTGGCCTTCGGGTGCCTGGAGAATAGCTTGACCCCCTTCCTCCTCTCTGTGGCAGCCCCTCAAATATTGGAAGATGCTCTCCTGTCTCCCCTGGTCCTTCTCTTCCCTGGACTAGCCAGGCCCAGTTCCTGCAACCGTCCGTCGTATGTTTCAGCCTCCAGTCCCCTCATCATCCTGGTTGCTCTTCTCTGCACTTTTCCTAGAGCCTCAACATCTTTTTTATAGTGTGGCAACCAAAACTGGATGCAGGACTCTAGGTGTGGCCTTACTAAGGCTTCATAGAGTGGTATTAGTCCCTCCCTTGATCTCGATTGTATCCCTCTGTTCGTGCAACATAGGATTGCATTGGCTTTTTTGGCTGCTGCTGCACAACATCGGCTCCTATTTAGCTGGTTGTCCACTAAGACTCCAAGATCCCCCTCCCAGTTCCTGCTATTGAGCCTGGTTTCACCCCGTCTATTATATGTGTCCTTTGGGTTTTTCTTGCCTAAGTGGAGGACTTCACTTTTCTCCACGTTGAATTTCATTTTATTAGATATGGCCCAGGGTTCTAGTCTGTCAAGATCCCTCTGGCTCTTCAGCCTATCATCTTCTTGGGTGTTGGCTATTCCTATGTGTGTTTTACTTTTCTTTTGCTGGTAGGCAAACTTTAAGCCCGGTGGTGTAGCGTTCTGGATCACTCCCAGTTTGTGCTCCAGGGAGTGGTGAGAATCAAAATGTAAATACTGATCTGTGTGGGGGAGTTTTCTGTAAACTTCAGTGCGTTAAGGCTTCTGTCTTCCTTAAGGTGCACTACACAGTCAAAGAAATCCAGACTCTTTTTCTTGGCATCTTCCTGAGTGAACCTAATCTAACTACCTGCAGAATTGATGTGTTTGGCGAAGGCTTCCAATCCCCGTAGTTTAATCTTGACCCAGGTATTGTCCACAAAACTATACCAGTGTTGTGGTTAGCCGGCAGCAGGTCCAGATGGCTGAGGAGAGCGAGGGAGGAGACAGATGAGGGGCCAGGACCATCAGGGGGTGGAGTGCTGCCTTCAGAGATTGTGGGGGCTGGCAGCAACGATGAGGAAGTTCCTGAGGAGCCTGTGCCCAGGGCGCATGTGCCCAGGGCTACTCACAGGAAAGAGCAGCTGCAGCAGCACGGGCAACTCGGGAGTAAGGCTGCAAGGTCATGGCCCCTCCTTCAAGAAGATAAAAGCCAGCTGTGAATCGGACCTTCTTTGCAGGAAGCAAAGACGTTTTGAAACTCGAGCCTCGTGGACATTCCAGTATCTTAAGTTGATATTTGAAGACTCTTGTGTTGTAAAATATTTCTAGGTAGATTAGAAATTTCTAGGTAGATTAGAAATATTTCTTGGCAGTCTCGCAGAGTTTTGGCGAGGCTTCTGCTTATCCAAGTTAATTGGTTTGCAGCAGCCTTTTCACCGGGGATTCGTAAGAACCGTTAAAAGGTTTCTCTTCCCTTTGGTTCGTGTTTCTTTTATCGGAAAAGGGTTCGGGTCAGAACAACCAGTGGGTATAGACATACCCGTTGGGGTACGAAGTGGGCTGGAAGCATCCTTAGACCTCTTCACTCAATGCTCAGATTGGGAGGAGCCGGGGGCATTCCTGTCTGGGCCAGATTCCCAGGGAAGAGAGAGGAAGCGGTGCCTCCCGACTCAGGAAGAGGCAGAATAGCACATGTCAACTCATAAACCATAGATATTTTATGCGGGGGAGAAAGAGGGTGAGGCTGGCTGCTCCGGTATAATTCGCAGATAATCTGCACCTTGTACGTAGCAATCTTTGATCTGGCAAGATTCTGTCTCTAGGTATTGAAAAGTCTAGAAATTTCTTGGGCAAAATCACTGCATGTCATTCTTCATTTTCAGGTCCTGACCATTCCTGATTCATCTCCGTGCCTGCTCTAGACAGGAAGTCCTCAACTTATGACAATTGAGCCCAGCATTTCTGTTGCTAAGCAAGACCGTATTCTGACCCAGCCTTCGCGAGCCATGAGAAACCACTTACTCACCAGGAAAAGAGACCCCTTTTTAAACAGGGCAAGAACTGTCTTTATTCACGCTGGATTGACAAACCCAAAAATAAGTAGTCACAAGTAAGAGGCTTTGGGCAACCCACCGTGACAAATCCCACAATCCTTTCCAATGTTTAAACTTCTTGGAAATTCAACCCTTGATTTGTCACATCAAACAAAACCTCTGGGCAGTTTCCGGATTCCTTGCAATCTGATGTCTGAGTTTAATCAGACACCCGCTTTTGGGTACCCCAAACTCCGCCTCTGACCCTTCCCGCCTTAAGTGGTCAGTCCCAGCAGCCTCTCGCTGAATTCCCAGAGCTTCTTGGCCAGCTGGTCATCGCGGGCCAGGGGACTGGGCACCTTCGGCTGGCAGTCCACGAAATACCCCCCGCTCAGCCTCTCGATGCCCTCCTCGGTGGCGCAGTAGATGGAGGTCTGGGCACCTGCGTCGCAATCTCGGCTGAACAGCTTAATGACCCAAGGCACCCAATCTACCCACCACGGAAGGAGGTGACCGATTTCCGTTTTAACAGCTCCTGAAAGCAAAAAAGAGAGTTGGTTGTGTGAACGGCCTGGGGTTGAAGGAAGAGGAGGAGGAAATCTTGAATGAACAACACCCATTGCCCATTGTAAATATTTTTCGCAAGACCCAATGTTCAAGTGAGTGGACAGTGGTAGAAAGCATATGTGTGTTGTGTTGTGTTGTGTTGTGAACATCTGCGTGCTGCATTGCACATCTGAATCTGCTGTCGTTGGGTGGCTAATAGATTCAAATAAATAATATTACCTATCTGTCTGTTCCCTTTGGTTAAAATAGTGTGTGTGTGTGTGTGTGTGAGAGAGAGAGAGAGAGAGAGAGAACATGTGTGTTGCTTTGCACACATGAATCCATTGCAATTGGTTATACATTGAAACAAATAATACTACATAATAATGTTCTGATAGGATATTTGTAACTCAAAGTAGAAATGTGGGGTCCCTGGTCCATTCTGAGTTCGGTTGTCTTCTTGCAGTTTAGTTTTATCACCCAACTAGGTTACATTGTCAACGCCAGAAGTGAGTGGGGTTGGTGGAGAGGAGGAGGAGGAGGAAGAGGAGGAGGAAGAGGAGGAGGAGGAGGAGGAGGAGGAGGAGGAGGACGACTGTGGAGTCCTTGATGATCTCTGAGCTTGGTTGTTTTCTTGTGGACATTTTATTACCCAACTAGATAACATCATCAATGCTAAAAAGAGCTGGGGTTTGTGGAGGAGGAGGAGGAGGAATAAAGGGAGGAGGAGGAGGAGGAGGAGGAGGACTGTGGCAAGGGTGGGATTCATTTTTTTAAAAAAAAAAACTTCATTAAACTTTTATAATTTTAAAAAGACAAACAGCAGAAATATAAATCTTGTAACATCAACCGTTTGTGACATTCATCTTATACTAATATTTTGTGCATTATTTACAAATTGGGATTCAAATTTTTTTTTACTACCGGTTCTGTGGGGGTGGCTTGGCAGGAATGGCATGATGTGACTTAGTGGCCCTTCCCTCCCCACCCCACTGACCTGCTTTCCAGCTCCGTTCTCCTGGGCAGGGCAACCCAAGGAGACCCAGCCGATCAACTGGGACTCAATGGGAGGCAGAGAATAGATGGGGTTGGTGGGGCCAGTCAGAGGTGGGATTGGCCGGTTCTCCAAACTACGCAGAATTTTCTCTCCTGGTTCTCCAGAATCGGTGAGAACCATCTGAATACCAGCTCTGCCTCTGCAGAGGGGGGTCGAGGGAGCCTGGCGGAGCCCCAGACGGACTGGGGGGCCCCTCCCATTTGGGGGGCCTTGGAGCCGGACTTCCACTCACCTGGATGAACCGCGTAGCAGGTGACGTTGGTTCCTTCCAGCCGCTTGGCCAACTCTCTGGCGTGGAGAATGTTGGCTAGTTTGCTGCTGTTGTAGGATGTTAGCATCTCCCATAACCCCTGTCCCGGCTTGTGGATGGTCTGAAAGTCGATCTTCCCAAAGATATGCAAATTCGAGGACAGGATTACGATCCGGCTCGGGGCGCAGCGCTTCAGCCGGTCCAGGAGCAGGTGGGTCAGCAGGAAGTGGCCCAAATGGTTGACCTGGAAGGCCTGGTCAAAGCCATCGGCGGTTTGGCCGGTCGTAAAGACGCCTGCCAGAAAAGTAAGCGGGTTACAGGCAGTCCTCGGCTTTACATGGAGTCACTTTCACAATCTGATGAAAGGGAAGGATGACACGGTTCCCAAGATCCGGTGGCTCCCCCTGGTGGCCACATCCCATGATTGCAACCTGGGTGCTTGAGCTGGGAAACGCGGGTAGTGACCGTAATACTGCACTCTGGCCACAGGGGGTGTGTGTCATATCATATATGACGTTTTTGTCCAAAAAAAAAAAAAGGCATTTGCTGAACAAATGCGGTTCCCATAACAACCACCTCAAAAAAAAAAAGGATGTCATATCGTGTTGGTCACAAAGGTGGCCTGTTTTACAACCGTCACAACTTATGACCATAATCGGCAGGCTCCATCATGGTCTAAGGATTGCATGGAAAGGATCCAGTTTGGCCTAGGGGTTAAAGCAATAGGCCATTAAAATCAGTTTACAGAGGTTGGTCTAGTGGCTAAGCCTAGAAAATGGGAGGCCATGAGTTCAAATCCTGCCTTAAGCCA